TCCTTCCCAGATTCTTACCCTAACCCTAATCTAACTTAGGCCGGTTTTAATCTGACGCAAGAATTGATCTGAGGCACAACATATATATCTTATTTGATCAAGAACTTAATATCTTATATGGATGGTTTTATGAGTATAAAATGTAATTTTTCTGATTAGTTTGTTAACTATAATAACTCACTTGTTTTTTTTTGATGTTGCATTCTGCTAGAAGTATATATTTGGTGTTTTTAAGAATAGTATTAGTGATTCTATATTTTGGATAGCATTTTTATCTAAGTGAACCATCATGGTGTTTTTCTTGATAAAATCTTGTTTATGTTGTAATAAAATTCAATTCATTTTAAAGTTCTATCAGTATTGAAGTTAAGAAATTGCTCAATTGCCTCTATATTGTGTTTATTTAAAAAGAACTTATTATATGAGAGTCTTGGTATTGTCTTTAGCATTTCATTGATAAATATATTCAAGATAATTTGTAAGATTAGCTACTAAAAGTAATGCTTATAATTAAGCTTTTTTGTGTGTAGTAACTTTATTATTTGTACTGTAAAGAAGTTTTCAACCTCTATTGAGAGGGTGGGTTTGTTTATTAGAATTAAAGTGTTCATTAGTACCTTATTTTGTAAGTAAAAGATATTGCTATAAATTTGTTATTTATTAAAATATTATTATCTTTATAAACTGTTATTATTTTGAACTATTTGTTTTTTGCTATAAAGTAAAATATATATTTTGTGTATATTCATAAAGTATATTACTGTACCAGGTAACTTTGTTATCTTGCTATAATATAATCAAAAAGGCTATAGCATTATAATAATATTTATTTGGAAAAATTAAATAATAATAATATTTTAATATTTAATCAGTATATTTTTAATTCTTGTAAAACCATGAAAGCTAGATATATAGCAAATGTTTTTGTAAAAAATTTATATAAAATTTATATTAAAATACCTCCTATATCTTAATAATTTATTTACCTGATTTAATTGGTTTCTTTTATTCCAAAATTCTCCTCCAATTTAAAACTTTCAAACTTTTAACTTTTTATTTTACACCTACTCAATATTGGTCTATAGAACAAACTCTATAAAAAAACTTGTTATATTTGTTAAAACAGATTATAGTAAAGCTTATATCTATTTGCCAGAAGACCCTTAATCTTTACTAAATTATGTTATTGTATCTTATTTTGAAACTATCTATTTTAAACTTTCTATTTCTCTTAAATCATATATTCACAACTTCTCTATATCAAATAATATCTACAATTCTACCTTAAACTTTTCTTTTTCTATTTCTAATCTCTCTGAATCTTTTTTCCAAATAATCACAATTGCATCACTCAATATTAATAGTCTTTTTCTTTCTAACAAAAAACTTTCTCTTATAGATACTCTTCTTAAACAAGACTACGATGTTTTTGGTGTATCAAAAACACATCTTTTCTTCAATAAAGCAAAGTTTTTTTACCAAATAGTATTTTTTATACAAGTTACCAGATATATATTTTGCTAATACAACATTGGATACTTTATTGTTTTTCTATATTCATAAACTGTTCATGTCCATATTCATAAACAATCCATATTCATGTCCATGTCAGGAACAACACTAGGTATTTCTAAACCAAATCAAAAAAATATTCAAAACTATTTTATTATTATGAACTATGTAAAAAAAAAAACCCAGATACTGTAATACAGTATATGATAAACAGTTAGACCTCTGTAATTCTCTCTAAATAAATACCCCAATTACGGTTATGTTATGTTATTTTATGTTCTAATGTTTCCATCTCTAGTTAGCATATAAAACAGAGAGAAAATGCCCTTTATAAATGCACACTCTCTAAATAACAATTTTAAATTTGCCTTATGGTCTCGGGGAAGTACAATCGCGTATTATAATTGGTTAATGCCGTGTGCGAAAGCACGTGATTGCAAAATTTTTGTTGGAAAGATTTTCATTTTCGCTATGGCTAGAACGATTGGCAATTTTTTTTGGCCCCACTTTTTGTGGCCACAATAAGAGGGCACGCCTCAAATATTTTCACGTGCCCACCCTAATGCGCGTATCATGAAAACAATCGAAATTGTTTGTCATATAGAAGATTCGAAACCAACGTCGCCGCGTTTTGTACCTTGCATTACAACAGAAGACCGCTTTGAAAATGCGGTAATGGAATGGACCTCAATACAAGAACTTATATCAAGCTGGAAGCAACATGTCTTACATGAATCTTTTTATTATGGAGGGTGCACTGCCGATATCTTAAAGAATATTGATATTGTCGTCGATTTTTTAAATGTGTTTCATGAGGTATTGAACCTGAAAATAGTATTTTTTATGAAATTTTTGGTTTAACATGTAAAAATAGGCAAATATGTCAATTTTATCCCGAGTAATTTAAAATTTTATTCTTCCTGAGCAGCAACTTGTTGGCTGTAAAACCGCTCAAGAATGTGTCACCAAATTTCCCAAAGGTGGGCAATTGTTAACAGATTTGGCGGTATTTTATTTATTTATTTATTTTATTCTTATTTCATAATGATTCACCGTCATTCATTCGTATATCGTTGGGTTTAAACTAGAAAAATAGAATTCTTGTCCTTCATTCGGAAACTTGCCGATTAGTTGTGAAATGTATTTTAGAATATTCTAAATGCGTATCTGAGTTTCCAGATTCATTGACAAACTCGAACTAGTATGTAAAATCTTTTCAGATGACTTACAATTTAACTTTTGCTAATATTTAGATGTTTGATTTTTTTAGTCAATCAAAGAATTGGTGCCTAAATAAAATAAAATCTTTGTTCTTTCGACATAATCCTTCTTATAATCGTGATAATGCCTCGGAATGCATAGCTAGATCATGCGGTGCTGGAAATTATGAATTGCAAAAGATTATTGTCACGGAGTCTGTTACTGTAATCAGGGAATTTTTGGAAACAATTATAACAAATTCAATAGTAATGCCGGTATGTTTTCGTAATGAAAATATTTAATATATATAACACAAAAATGCATTTCATGCCGTAGAACTAATAAAGCATAATTTTTAGTCTCAATATTTCGTCAAAATTTCCGAACAATTTTTACCACTTTTGGATGAATCGTCAATGTGGGAAATGGCCGATCTTATAATTCGATCAGCAACAAGTAGAGCTTTGAATGTAACATCGTATACGGACAATTGTGAAGTGTTATCATGCAAGTTTGTTGAAAAATTAGTCTTTTCAGAATCGATATTTGATAGACTTAGTATTGAAGCGAAATCTGGGCATGTTTTATTTTTAAACCATAATAAATATAATTAGAGTCTATACAAATGTCAGACTAACCTTAGTCTATAATTTGACAGTCTATGGGCAGCTTGCCCCTTTGCCGTTGAACATGAGGTAACAAATCTTGATATATGTAAGGTAATGCTGGTATTTTTTCAAGCTCGATTAAAGTTTATTTCACCTCCATCTCAGGTCATGAAACTTTTTGGACATCTACTATTTTCCAGGGAAAAAGAATATATGGCACCACGAGAAATAAAGGAAGCCGTACGAAATGAACTTTTATTTCAAAGAATGATAATACATCCAAGGATTTGTCATCTATGCTTTGATATTTTGACGAAGTTGGTTATCGAGTCTCCAGATTGGCGCATTCTTCGCCTTGTAAGGTATATAATACAACCTATTTTTGAGAGTGACTTTCGAAATGGGTATTCTTCCTTAGCGGAGGTAAGTTAGCATTTGAAGTGAAATGAGTGCCATTTAGTTTGTACTAAAGGCATACACGTACTTTATAATTTTGCTTAGTATCTTCCTCAACCTTTCGCGGATCTTGTTTCCAATCTTACAAATTATATTTCGGGGGCACATGACTTCTCAATGATCAATTCTTGCATTAAACAATTTTTATTGAGCCAAGGCCTATCAGATGTCAGAATGTGTAGAAAGCAAGTATGGATACTATTGATGTCATTTCCAAAGTGGCATTATTGGATTATTGAAGTAATTTTTGACGAATTACTCTTTCCTGAAATTAGTGAAGTAAGTATAAAACACATCATGAATATAGATGGAGTTAACAAAGCTCGTATTTATAGATTATTTACGTTTGTAGCTAGAAGAGCCAATACGTTATCTAGCATGGTTAGTGTGCCCAAGAGATGATAATACTATCATCACTCTTACTAATACTATAGTAGATATTATAATATCCGTAAGAGGTAATAATGTCTACACAGTCATCATTTTTGTTAAGTATTGATCTAATTTAAAATATCATTTTAGAGTGTTTGTCAGTGTCACAACATAGAAACGAAAAAATTCTTTCGTGTCTTGAACGATATCAACCTATTTTTACAAATCAAATGATTTTAGTGGATATTATTTTAGGATTATGGCCAGTTACCAACTCCTTAGATTTAATGAAGAAACTTGTAAGATTTTCTAGGTTTGAAATTCTTTTACACAACTCTGGTTATGTCAACACTTTCCAAAAATAAAGCGTCTGATATATTTAGATTCAGTTTGACCAGAGGCATTTTCATATCAAGTATATAGGATTGAAATTTAAAGAATGTTGATATAACCAGCTATTAGGTTGTTATAATCAGAGTTATTTATAGAATGAGTATCACTAACTTGTGATTATAATATAGGTAAATTTTTGCATAAAAAATCATAGTGAACAACTAAACACGTCCAGGTTAGATTTATTATTGCTATTGACTCATTAACCCTTTTACTAATTTGCGCTCGTTAACATTATCTCATAGGAAGAATGATGGTGTCAATTTAACGACATTAACGCTTATTTTAGATTATTTTTATGAAACGCAAGTTACGGAAAACGATTCCGAAATGAAAGATTTTTTAAATAATTTGCAAGGAATATATAAAAATTCTTTATCATCGGTAATCTTTTGTATATAATGTTAATTTTGAAGTCTCGAGTATCTATAGAACTTATTCTGCGTAAGAAGTTGTATATTTAGGTCTAAATTCATTGTATCATAGTCACAAGAAATGGTATCACCATAAAGGGCTAATAGTTTTTGATAAGATATAAATAAATGGGACATATATGACGAACAATTGTGAAATTGCATCAGTTAAATTTTTAGATTATCATTATTCGTATAACATACCATATATGGTGTGCCCCAATCAATTTGTCCCAGATGTCAACCTAAACAAAATTAAACAAACGTTAGGGTATATCACGTCTGATTTGTCTTGATTATCGATAGGGACAACATTTTTAGGTAATTCTTTTATACCCTTTATAAATTAATTTTTAAAAATTGATTAAAGTCTTCGTACATTGATAAACATTTAATTTACACTTTCTTGATCTTTGTCATGTTTGGTATGTGTATCGAATAGGAAAAAAAAAATTTTTTTTTTAATTATATTATATTTAAAGTATTTTGTTTGTATCAAACTGGTCTTTCATAGAGCACATTGATTCTCAACCTGAGAATAGATATTCTTCGTTGGTTCATGGTCAACGTATCGTAATTATTCCAGAATTTACACTTGAATCTGGTTATACATTACATCGGGTTCCAGTAGCATATAAAACTTGGGGGAAGCTTAATGTAGACAGAAATAATGTAATGGTGATATGTCATGCACTTACTGGAAGCGCTGATGTTCAGGATTGGTAACTAGATCAATTTGAAATTTTGAAAAGTTTAATTTTGGTTAGTTATTAAATATTGTAATTATATATAACTATGTAAGGTGGGGACCTCTGATTGGAAAGGGAAGAGCTTTTGATCCCACAAAATATTTTATTTTTTGTGGGAATGTTCTTGGATCACCTTACGGTACTGCGTCCCCTGTTACGATTAATCCTGATACAGGAAGTATATATGGTCCGGAATTTCCTTTGACAACACCTCGAGATGATGTCAGGTATTCTAATACAAATTATATAAATATTTATTTATTTAATTATTTTTCAAAATTAATGATTAAACAATTTATTATCACTTGTTGAATTAATAAGGCTCCATAAAGTGATTCTTGATATGTTAGGCGTCAAACAGATTGCTACGTGCCTAGGTGGTTCCATGGGTGGTATGCAAGTGCTTGAGTGGTTATTCTTTGGACCTGAATATGTAAAGACAATTATTCCTATTGCTACTTCTGCTCGACATTCTGCATGGTGTATAAGTTGGAATGAAGCACAAAGACAATCTATTTATAGTGATCAAAAGTATTGTGGGTATTTTTACTGACACTATTGATTTATTTTTAAGTCTTTTAAGTTTTTTTTTTAACCTATTTATAATTTTAAGATGATGGGTTTTATCAATTAAAAAATGAGGTATTAATATGTTCAAATAAATTGAGATTTCATTTTAATTTATTTATTGACGTCAGTTTTTTGTAGCAACCAACAACAGGCCTTGCAGCTGCGCGCATGTCTGCGCTTCTTACATACCGTTCTAGAAATTCTTTTGAGTCTCGATTTGGTCGTAAATATCAAGATATAAATAAATATCCAACAGATGATGATTCCCCATTTGCGAAACCAAAAACACCAGCAGAGAATGCTTTATCTCTACATAATGATGGCCTTCGAAGTAATAATATTAATGATAAGCCTTTCAAATCAATGGATCAAAATGACAACAATAATATATTTTTAAAGCAAACAAATAACCAAGATAACGATATTGTCGAGTCACTTGATAACGGTGGATATATCCAAGAAAACAACAATGAACATTCGACTGCCGCCGTACCGCATGTATTTTCGGCTCAGTCGTATCTTAGATATCAAGGAGATAAATTTGTTAAAAGGTTTGACGCTAATTGTTATATAAGTCTTACACGTAAGATGGATGCACATGATATAACAAAGGGTAGGGGTGATTTGAGAGAGGTATTAAGCAGCATTAAACAGCCAGCATGTATAATTGGTAAGTACCGACATCTATCACTTATTTTCGACACTATTTGAAATTTATATGTTGAAATGTTTATATATCTTTTTATCTAAGGAATTGAGTCGGATGGTCTTTTTACTATATCTGAACAATATGAGTTAGCAGAATTTATACCAAATTCTGAGATGATAACTATTAAATCACCGGATGGTCATGATGGTTTCCTTCTCGAGTTTGATCAAATTAATCGGCATATTCTCCGCTTTACTCGTGCATATTTATCCGGATTATTTGAGGGAGAATCAGGCGAAAATGGTGTACAAGAAAACAATATAGATGAGAAGTTGGTGGCTACTAAAAGTAGTTTGTTTGGTGAGGCAGAAGTTGATGACATGATGAAATGGTGAAAATTATCAAAAACTATTAAAAATTATTAGTAATGGTTTCTTGTACTGTATGTTTAAAAGTAAACTTAGTTTCTTTAAATAAAGCTTTCAAATAATTTTTTTTTTAGATATAACTCGACTTGTATGTTAATTCATGATAATTTATCTAAATGTGGCTAAAACTTTCCCAAATTGTAACTAATCATCTTTACCATAATTTTGAATTTTTCATCTTGAATAAAACTCATTTCGTCCAAAACTACTTAAGGGGTAAAGCGCAGCTGAAGGGTATAAAACTCAGCGAAATAATTATTACTCTCATATAGTGAAAAAGGTTTGACAAGTAAAAAAGATTGGATCTTTAGTATAGGTGGGCAATATAAATTATTACATATCGGCGGATTTGCGGAATTGGTCCTGAATTGATCCTCAAAGTTATCCGCAAAGTGAACCCCAAAGTTTGTATATAGCAAACAAGCGTACATAGAAAGATAATTTAAGGGGTAAATAGATACAATTAAATGTCATTGTATTTATTTACCCCTTAAATTATCACGTATATTTGTTTGCTACAAAATGGCGGATAACTTTGAGGATACAATTCCGCAAATCCGCCGATATTATGAAATTATAATATATAAAAACTAACTATTTTGAGCTAATTTTAGACTATAACCCTCTTAAATATTTATAAATTTGCTTAAATTAGTTCAAAATAGTTATTTTAATATATTTTAATTTTATATTAATTCCATATGCCCACCTATACTAAAGATCAGCCAAAAAAAATCATATAGTTACGAAAAGGAAATTGTTAATACTTCGCGATATACTGATCAGATTTTAAATAATTCTACCACCGAATTATAACTTTCACTAGAAGCGCAAGAATGTTTACTTGGTAAAATAAAATTTTCATTTAAGCTAGCTGCATTTAGAGTTAATACCTCAATCCGGATATATTTTTTATATCCGGATTAATCCGGTTTTATCATAGTATAAATCCGGATA